AAAAATAGATATTTTTGAAATGTAAAAGCAATTCATAAATTACTCTTCTGGAAACTCGGTCTGCACCTAGCTATATTTCAGGACGTATTAGTTGAAAACGCTAGATAACGCGCTCTCTCCCAGAAACTGTGACTAAGGTCCGCTCAGAATAGTTACAGTACAAACCACGGGTGGGTGTTGAACAAACACAAATATGCCTGCGTCTGCAATGGGGACTAGCTAGTCGCCCTAGTAGATTGGATTTACGTGTTTACTCTTTTCATTGTTTGTAACGAGATTTTCTTGCTTCATAATACTTTGGTTAGATTTGGTAAGGCATCATTTACCTAATGAGAAAAGAAGGCTTGGAAAATTTGAAACTCAAAGGACAGATTGAAGGTAACAAGGTAACAGCGAGTAACCTACCTAACGAATTGTCCAAATGGATGATAAGACAGGGAGTGAGATCGGTTACTCGTTTCCAAGCCCACCTGTCTACTAGGGCGGTTAGCCAATCCTTATTACAGATGCTTGCTCAGGCACATATGCGTTTACTCAATACCCACAGATCCCACGTGCAGTTTATACTGCATATATAAAGCCGACTTTAGTTACAGGAGCAAGAGCGCATAATCTGGCCTGACCAACTGTTTGAACATGGCTCACAACCTCGGTCACGATGATTTTTTACTTCGTGCTAACACAGCCATCGATGGTTTCTGAATAGTTACGTCTACCTCATTCACTTACAAGGCTTAGGTCAACTCGTTCTAAGTTTGTTTTTGTTTTTTGTTTTTTGTTTTTTTTGTTTTTTTCTGGCACTTTACAAAGATGCCATCGGTCGGGATCGTCTCCCCTGACCGATATCTTCAAGATTTCGTTCTCATGAATAATTGACCATGGACGAATGAAAGGAAGCGGGAAATATTAAAAAGGAAAAAGGTTGCTAAGAACGACAAAACGCAGGAACCTTTGGGGAGCAATAATTATCCACGTTATGAATGGACACAGCACATCGAAAATTTATTTAATCATAATTTCAATTACCATCACGGAATTTAAAATGAACTTTTGTATAGTTTCTGTCCTCCTCTATGTCAGTGAATTATGGAAAATCTCCTCGCAGATGAAGAATGACTTGAAACAACAGAAATGTGGTCCGACAGAGGAATTTTGAGAATAACATGAGCATAATATATGAACAACGACGAAGTTCTTGAAACAATGGCAACAAAAAAGCATATATAATTAACATCAGGGAGAGACGATTGAAATTTCTGGGACACATATTGAAAAATTTGATATTCAGTTATAGAGTAGTGTCACAGTGGAGGTTCCACTAAGTCGGTCCTAAAAAGGTTCGACGTACAAAACGTTAGGAACTTGATATAATAGTTAATGACGCAGCAATCTAGTTGGGATGGCTGATACTTTAGTATCTGACTAACGGTCGTCCGACATCGACTGACTGACCAACTCTCTGAGCGACTGCTACTACTCCTACTTATTATAGGTGTGAGAGCCTATTAACTATAAAATAGGTGTGTTCCAGTATATGGGAAAACAGGGATTAGGTGAGATCACAAAAAAAGTGAAAATTTATTAATACCTACAAAGGGCAGGAAATTATGGAGGCCCATGATTGCCAATGTCCTGAAAGAAAACGGGGTATAGAAGAAGATATGGGATGACGCTGTTTTAACCTAAAACAGAACAAAACCAATATTGATATCGGCATCGAATAATTAATCAGTTGCCATTAGCAGGATGAAAGGAAATAAAGAATATAACATTTTTTTTTCAGCGGATAGACTTCGTTTTCGACGGCCCATCGGTATTAGCTGGAGAAATTAAATTATAGTACATGAAGAAAGTTTTGGTTTTATTCTGCTTGTATTGACTTATATGCTTTAATTTTAACATGTTTTTTCCTGTCGAATACTAAAATAACAAGTCTGATACTTTACTATTCTTTTTTTTCATTATTTGCTAAACGTTCGTATTCTGTTGATTATTTTTAATTAGAAGTTACGATTTATCAAAATTAGAAATTAAATAAAAGAAAACGCTTTCTTTTCTTCTTTTTTCTTAAATAATAAAGACGTGTTTACTTTCTTCCTTTCGTTTGAAACATGTCAGTGTTAATTAAAATCCGAAATAAAAGTTTGTAATACTTGCTAGTGATGTATTTTTGGTAGCTTTAACTAAATTTTTGCCCTTTAAGAGGCCTATATGTAGACGCCTATATACTCGGAGACCCGAGCTCGAATTCCAGACGAGGCCATTGCGTTCACTTTTAATACGCTTGGGAAAGGTATGAAGCCATCTCTTCCATCACAGCTTTGGGTAAATAGCAGGGCAGACTGACCCCTATAGCTTTGGTTGGTAACCAGTCTAGGAGAAAGAAAAACTGGAGCAAAACTGCCTTGTAGGATCTGCTTCTTTAGGCAAATGCTAGACAAAAACAAATCCACTTCGAAGACACGAACTGGCCTATTACTACGAGACGAGACAGATAAATATGGATTCCTGGTGTTTATAAAAAAAAATGTTTTAAACAAAAACAAGACTGGAACACCATGGACTTCTCTGATTTCGGCCAATTCGTCCATGGGTGTAATATCTACGGTACTTTATTTTCAAAGCAAACGTGGCTTCAGCCTTATTCTGCATTTTATCCCCTGAAGGTTATAAATGCTTAGTATGTCACGTATTTGCATCAAGTTCTAAAGCAAGGGTCGGCAACCTACGGCCCGCGGGCCGGATCCGGCCTGCGAAGTCATTTTGACCGGCCCTCGAGCCTGATTACCAATGACTCTATTTTTAACATGAGAGATGAGGCTTTCGAATTAGACTATCTGCCAGTTATCTTTCATGAGACTTATTTTACCAAGTTGCGTTGCCTACGTTTAAAGTCAAATAATGGATACATATTTGTTATGACCCTTGGCTACATTAAAAGATAACAGAAGCGAAAGGAACGATAAAGTGAAAGAGGCCAGGGAGGGACTGACATGCGAGGTAGCAGAAATCAAAAGACAGTTAAACATACGCGCTTTATACATACATGCCTCATGAATGTGTGGATGATACCGCATGTGTACGTACGTAAGTGTATATGTTTGCAACTATTTGTACTCGTATGTATGGGTATATGTGCTTCGTTTTTGTTTGATGTGTGTGTGTGTGTGTGTGTGTGTGGTTCGTTTGTGGAAAAATATAAATAAGAACACTGGATTATATATCTTACTGTTCTTTCTTTTTATTTATATACATACGCACACATACATACATACATATATATATATATATATATATATATATAGGAACGAGGGAGGGAGAGATTTGAATACAGATGTATAGATCAGAATCGAGCGATAGGTCATCTAAGCAAAAATCTCCACGATATAAATAACGCAATGCAGAATAATTAAGACTCAAACAGCGTCGTACATCACCACGGGGATGCACTGCAAGATAAGAGTCTTTAATGACTCTAGACGCAGAAGTGAATCTTCTCATTAACTTCGTACCTGACTAAAATAAGGTAGCGTATATGAAGCCATGCTGATAGACACTCATACACGTATATATGTACTTGCGCATATGATTATTAAGCCTTGTGTGTGTGTGTGTGTGTGTGTGTGTGTGTGTTAAAATCTGTGTGTGGGTGTGTTAGTATAAGGATGATTTATGGATATATAAGTTCTATAATCCAATAAAACAAATTTTAGACCAGGAAGGGTAGTGAAACTCGTATCTGAATTGGTTGAATTTGTTTACCTTCAAATTCACTAAGGTCGTTTGATAGGCAAGGTCTACAGTTCTATAAAAGAAAAAACTATTCTATAAAGCAATTTTTAGTCTAACGTCCTCAAGGGTCTTTAAGACATTTCACCAAGCTTCGTCTGGAAAACGGATGCCGCCTTTATAACGACAACCTCATAGTGATTCCGAATTTCCGATTCTTTTATCAGGTTTTAATAGTCATTGCAAGTTCCAGTAGGTAATTAAGAACTTTTTCAGAACATAAGAACAGACTACCTGGTCATTTACCATTGTTAGAAATGTCTGTAAGACAAGGATGCGTTTTCTCGCCAGACTTATTCAACCTATACATGAGCCAATTCTAAGAGAACTAGATGTTCCACCAGCCTTTCGTTATTGGCGGCAACAATATTAACATGTGCAGATGACACAGTGTTGATAGCAGACATGGAAAGCGAGACTACAAAAGTTCCTACAGAAAGTAGTGAAGGAAAGCGAGAAGAAAGGATTAAATCTAACCTGCATCAAACAGAATGCATGGTTATTAGCAAAAGGATGAGCCCAAAAGGCAAAATTCCAAATTAGCGATACCAAAATCAACAGTGGATGAATATACGACACTGAAATCCGAAGATGCACTGGGATAGCTAAAGGCGCATTCCAAAAGCTAAGCAAAGTATTAAGAGACATAAAAAAACTAGGTTAAAAAGAAAAGAGTACTGAACTGTTACGTTAAATCAGTTCGCCTATATGGTAGTGAATGCTGAAAAAATTCCTCAAAGATGAAGAAGAGACTTGAAGCAACAGAAATATGGATCTACAGAAAGATGTTGGGGTTACTATGAACATGCGAGCACCAAACGAAGTTTTAGAGAAAATGGAAACTTATACTTAACATGAGGGGGATAGAGTTTAAATTTCTGGGGCACACGTATTGAGAAAAGAGGGCTTGGAAAATTTGATACTCACGGGACAGAGGAAAACAACGCCTAACACACTCTTGACGAGTTTAAGAATATGGATGTCGGAACAGGGTTTAGAAATAACGAAAAAGATAGAATTTATTTAGAGTTTCAAGGGACAGGAACTTGTGGAGAGCCATTACCAGGAGACAAGACACATAAAGAGGGAGATATGCATTTCCTCATATATATATATATATATATATATATATATATATATATATATATATATATATATATATATATATTTTTCTGAAATATCGCTAATATAAAATCTTGCCGCTACCATTTTTAATTTGCATCTTGACTAAGCCTTTTGTAGATAGATAGATAGATAGATAGATAGATAGATAAAAGCTTACTTTAAAATTGTATTTTTATCATATATATATATATATATGTATATATATATATATACACACACACACACACACATATATATATATATATATATATATATATATATATATATATATATATATATATATATATATATATATATATATATATATATATATATATATATATATATATATATATATATATATATAATACCTATATATATATAGGGTGTCCCATAATGATGCCAGGCATACTAAATGCAAGTATGTTAGAACATAAAATTGACATAAAGTACCAAATATATTTATTCCGTAACTGATATACAAGAATTCAACATATTATCTAAGATTTGGATATTACATCCCTGAGATGGTCACCACAACGAAGAGAACATGTGCTAGCTCGCTCTCTCATCTCAAACATTGACATCATGGAGTCCCACCATCAGCAAAAGAGATATCAGATACCTGTAGAAAATAGCAAAATTTTAGATAATATCTTGAACTCTTGTATATCATTTATGTAATAAATATATTTGGTACTCCATATCAGTTTTATAATCCAAGATATTTCCATTGTCGCATAATTAATTGGCAATTCATTATATTAATAAGGATCTTTTTTTTCTTTTTTTTTTTTGTAATTATCTTCCTTTTTTACGGCCAGAATTATCAATTTCAGGCAAATTCTATAAATTTATTTAAAAGTTTTATGAAAATATTAAAACAAAAAGAACTGAAAAAATTAAGAGATTTTTACGATGAATTTGTGTGTTTTCAGACAATTTATTTTTAAATCTCAGACCGATAGCAACAAAAGAGATTCACTAGTGACAAAAGATGATAATGTCAGGTTTTTTTTTTAATTAATGATTTAACCAATTTTCTACGCAAAACCACATCAATCTAATGTTTCGAGATGCTTTTCCTCCATGTTTTTTTTGTTTTTTTGACTTATTTTCAAAGAATCGTCCACGTTTCCTTTTCTGTTTTTCGCATTGCTCAATGCTATTTTGTCTTGTTTAGTTCATGCAAAGTTAAACTTCCGTGAAGTCAATATTTCTTTTTTTTTTCCCCTGGCGCCTTTATGAATAAATTGATCGAAGCCAGCAGGTGACACTGGTTTAGACATTGAAAGACTTTGGACACTTTTCGTGAGAAAAAGTAACCAGTTTAGAGAAGATTGATCAGACAGGACCACAGAAAAGTCCAAGTGACTGACTGATTGCCTCTTTATTGGTCGCAAGTTTAAATTCTTCAGAATTTGATTAATCTCATGTCAAACAGTCTTCCTCATTCTCTCTTATCCATCTATTTGCACACACACACACACGCTCACATACACAGGCACACACACACGCTCACACACACACAAAGATATATATATATATATATATATATATATATATATATATATATATATATATATATATATAAGTGTGTATTTGGGCAATAGTTTATCTTTTATACAATATTCTTGAACACTACTGAGAAGGCAGAGTGATTCAGATTTTCATCATTTTTCTTGCATTCGTAAGCATGATTTCTTTTCTGGGCATAGTGTGTGATAACTGTCCAAATGATCTGTAGATCAGGCGCTTTCGGCTAATCTAATAGCCGCTGTCATTTCGTCTTCAAAACGTATATATATATATATATATATATATATATATATATATATATATATATATATATATATATATGTGTGTGTGTGTGTGTGTGTGTGTGTGTGTGTGTGTGTGTGTGTGTGTGTGTGTGTTATGCACTCTTACATTAGAACATGTAAATATCCACTACAAAACTGTACATTTTGTTTCAACGTAAAATCAACGTTTCTTCGGGTGGTATTCACCTGAAGAAACGTTGATTTAACGTTGAAACAAAATGTACAGTTTTGTAGTGATATCTACATGTTCTAATGTAACAGTGCATAATAAATATATACATTGCTCTACTCCTACAGTGAGCTTTGTTTTCAATTAATGCTTTGAACGTTTAAATTTTATTCTTCGTCCTTGCACATTTGTATATATATATATATATATATATATATATATATATATATATATACATACACACATATATATATATATATATATATATATATATATATATATATATATATATATATATATATATATATATAATGAACATAAAAGCATAACTGTCAGCCATAGCATTTAAAAGCAAAAGAAAAATTCAGTAATGGATAGCTACATATAGTTTTGCCTTACCAATTGCCTTCCAGAAGATTATCTCAGAAAGAGATAGAAAGTACTTTGAATTAAAAGTAATTCTTACTGTTACAGTGCATTTCTTGCCTCTTTTAATTGTAATATAAGAAAAAATATTCGAGAATATGAAGGGATTATCATCAATAAGGATTAATGATAAGCAGACATAATGTTTGTAACTTATTTAATCATATAAGCCTAAAAGAGAATTTGCTGCCTAAATATACGGACATTTGAGGACACGCTTAGAACATGATCCAAAAGTATGTGCTTGTTATTCATCAACATAGTTATTAGTGCCGTTGCCGCCTTGCTTGGTGTGTGTGTATTAAACCACAATATATATATAATATATATATATATATATATATATATATATATATATATATATATATATATATATATATATATATACACATAAGACACCGGAGGTGTTGAAACGAAATAGCTATTTCTGTAGTGATTTTATAACACATTTATGTTATAATTTTTAAAAAAAAAAATAATATATATATATATATATATATATATATATATATATATATATATAGTAAAGGTAATAAATCCGAGTGGATCCTAGTACTATAAAATATTAAAACTGATTCACAAAAAGAGCTTTATGTATGTATTATTAGAGAGCAAATTTTAATAAACAACAAAATCCAAAATCACCTCATATGAGGAATAGCCTATTTCGGCAGACAAAGATATCGTTGGTCTGTCTTATCAACCCCAGTGTGGACTGAGTTCATGTCAGAAACATGAACTCAGTCCTCACCGGGGTTGATAAGACAGACGACCGATATCTTTGTCTGCCGAAATAAATTTTCCCCATATGATGTGATTTGGGATTTATTGTTTATCATTTAATATATATATATATATATATATAATATTTTTTCAAAATCGAATTCTTGCAGGTACGGCCTCGTTCTCAATAACCGTTACACATGACGTCACTATAGACTATATAAAACATTTACTTTTTCAAAAAATACCATGATGTAGACAAAGGAATTTTAACTATTACACTAACACCATATTGGTTTTTGAAAATAACTGAGTTGTTCGAACGTATTGCAACAAAACAATAACGCAATAGGAACATCGGAGAGTTTTTTCCATAATTACAAGCGAAATACTCAACTTCTTATTAGAAAATTAGAAAATACAATAAAAAGTAAATTAAACAGACAGACCTTGTCTGTTGTTTGTAGTCAATCTTCTTTGGATGAATACGTGCTGCCTAAATACATCTTATTATTCTTCGGAGCGCCTACTTAGATATATGTATCCAATTAAATAAGGTTTGGAGTAATAAAAATATGTCCGATTAATAAATGAACTCTATTGTTTCTTTAGAAATTGTTTTGTATGCATTTTTGGATGCGAAACTGAGAAGAAATCCGAACGAGTAAAGGGTGGTTTAAAAGGCAAAATAGAATCTTACTAGAGTACGACGCTCTTAGAAGAAGAAGAAGAAGAAGAAGAAGAAGAAGAAGAAGAAGAAGAAGAAGAACTACTACTACTACTTTTGAAGCAGCACTAGATTGACTTTGTTGTCACCTGGGATTTATAAAAAAAATATCCATTAATTCACCCACTCGCCCCTTTTCTTTTGCAATACTGCGCCATCTTTTGCATCTTTGAGGTAGGAAGGGATTTGACTTCAAAGACAAAAAACAAACAACGAAAAAGGATGACTACGATAGAAGGCCTTGGCAAAAATTGACAAATAATCGCATTTCGTGATGCAAGCATTTGGGAAGATTATGACTTGGTCGCATAATGGAATTTGATGGAATTCAAACAAAAGACAACAGACTGGAAGGACAAAAAAACATAATTACAAGATTTTAGCGTAGTGCGATGTTAAGGAAACATAACACTATTGGGACTATCGCTCTAAAGTCAATAAATAAATAGTGTTAATTTTAGATAACTTTAGTATGAGACAGAGAGAGTCTGACAGATAGATAGATAGATAGATAGATAGATAGATAGATAGATATGAAGAGATTTATATAAATAAATATGAACAAATTTAGATAGATAAATATATATAGAGAGATAGATAGCTTTAAACCAACTGAATTTCGATAGATAGAACTATAAATAGATATGAACAAAATATGTGTAGATCGATAAGACAAACTAAGATAGATAGATAGATATGAATAGACTAATATCCATAGATAAATATGAACAGATATAGATAGATAGATAGATAGATAGATAGATAGATAGATAGATTACATGCAAAACCGTTATGTTTGATCGCTTACTTCGAGAACGCAAGTAAATAAATTACTTGCGTTCTCGAGTAAATGATCTGAAGTCGTTTTGAAATTGGGTAAATGGAAAAAAAACACTTCCATCTTGAATCTCCATTTCACAAGGAAGAAAACGTCGATTTTTAATTTGATTATTATTATTATTAATATTATTATTATTATTATGAATTCTTTTTTCTTGAAACTCTAGGCATTCTTTGTTGGCGAATCCTGAACTCTGAACTGAATAGAGGCCGCGAAACTGAATCAATTCGTAAAGAGCGAAAACTGAGAATTGCATCGCCACATATCGTTTGAGGAAGGCCTGCTTGTTAACTAAGTTACTTGAGCCATTCGTCAGCCTTCAGTCTTCAAAAAATCCAAGATTTCAAAAGCTGATATTCGACTTCGGAATTTCTTCTTTATTTACAAGATTAGCGCAA